TTCCTCAACGGACCCAGGATCAAGATGGGGCTAAAAAAAAACCAAACTGAAAAACAGGATGCTTCTGCGAGCCCCGCCTTGCACTGGAGGAACCAGGCCACGCAGCACCCCAACTCTGAGCAGGCGGCTGAACTTCGCAATTATCACGGATAACAAGAACAAATGAAAAAGCACTCATTGAGTAACTGATATCAATTATGAAACCCGGCTTTGGAGTCTGGAATAAATGATAGGGGAATTGGCCTGAGAGAGAACGGAGCAGACATGTTATTATTTACGCCAGATTAAGAAAAGTATCCAATTTGCTGGCCTTCTCCCTCCCCGTGGGAATTGGCATCAATTTTATTATTGTTCCTCCGATTTTAATATTCTCTAAATGAATTACTATTGAGCGAGGTAGTTAGTCAATAGTTTAATGCAATTAATTATCTTTAAATCGCTTTGTTATCTTTTTTTTTTTTTTTTAAGTCTCAACTCCAACTCCAGTAAGCATTTGTTGACGGGACACTGGAGAGGGGGTGTTTGCAGGTCCGGGGTGATGAGGGCCTGGGATGAAGAGCTTTCCGGAGCTGCAGCAGGGCAGCCTCTGTCCCCTAACTGGAGCAATGTGAGTGGCGCACACTTTAGGGAGGCTCCACCAGGGCTGTGACAGGGCAGGTAGAAGGGTGAAGCGGGGTGCAGCCCAGGTGCCCCCAATGCAGTCTGAGCCTCTTTTGTTGTTTCTAGTTTAAAATCAGGGGGGAAATAAGACTCACAGGCCACCCCTGCTCCTGTTTCTCTTCTGGACTCCCTGGGGGCTCTTCCTGGGTGTCACGGGGCCTGCACGTGGGAGTGGTGGTCCTTTCTGTCCCACTCTGGCTACTCCACCTCTAAGGGCCAAGGGAGCATAGAGCTGGCACAAGGACTTCCGTGGGAGGGGCCGTGGGGCACTCGATGTTATTCCTAGGCCCCCATTTCTTTCCCGTTTATGGGCACAGGGGAAAGCCTCATCTCTTCCTTAAGCACCCTGAAGAATACCCCGGCTAATGTGGACCTTGCAAGCCTCACAGTATCTAGGCGGGCAGCTCAGGTCAGGCTCCGATGAGTCAGGTAGAAAGGCCAGCTAGGGTCCAGAGTGGCCTGGCTGATCTCTCTGGAACTCATTGCTGGGGGACTGGGGTCCCCAGCTTCGAGGAGGAGGAGCAGCTAGAAAAGGTTTCTCTTGGTTTCCAATTGCCTATTCCCATCTACCAAAATGATGAGATGTGAGAGGGGGCCAGAGTCTCCACTCAAACTGAGGGTGGCTGATCTTCCAGCCAAAGCCCTCTGCTTGCTCCCAGCCCTGATCAGGAACACCAAGAGGCAAAGCTGTCTGCACTGAGGCCTGGCAGGTGGCCCATCTGCTAAGGAAGAGAGGGTGGAAAGAGGGGAGGACTGGGGAGACAACTCTTCCCCTCCGGCCAGGTCAGGGTGACCATTCCTTCTCCCTGAGATCAGGGCACCTACAGAGGGGGGATAATGGGGAGTGGCAGAGTCCTGCTGGTGGGTAGACGGCAGGTAACAGTTAACCTTGTAGATGGTCACTTGCCTGGGCCATGCTTTGAGCCAGAGTAGTAAAGATGATAAAAATGCAGAAGCCAGGTGGTGAGCACTCTGCCCGTATCTGATTCTACCTGGGGCATGCGTACTGAGTGTCTAGGTGTCTGTGGCAGCAGGTGGGAGCAGGGGCCATGGTGTATGACCCAGACCCCAACAAGCCTCTCTGGAATGCAACACAGCCCCTGAGAATTTTCCTCTTCCTCCCACCCAGCCACCCAGCCACCCCTAAAGAAATGCTGGACCTTCTCACCATTCAGCGAAAATTGAATTCCCCCGAAATAGCTCCGAGGACAGGACCTGGTATTTCATACTGTTTTAAAAGTAATATTCCGTTTGTCGGTGCCGTGAAATAGGGCACCAGGAACGCTACAAGAAATAAAAAGAGTAATTTCTCAGTGGAGAAGTTGCCTGTTTCCAATTCAGGGCTGAGGATGGTTGGAACCTGGATCCCGCGCTGTGGTCGGGGGAGGTGGCATGGTGCTCCCGCCCAGCCGGGGCAGTCCCTCCTACCTTGCACATCTGGAATTGGCATCAGGGGCCCCTTGGTCCGGAAGTTCTCACACTTCATGACTCATTAACCGCGGGGCTTGGATTCCTTGGGAAAGGGGATGAGGGCCAGGGTTACTCTGGGGGGTTGGGGCTCACGGTGGCTGCCCCTGCCCGGTCCAACTCCACAGGCAGCAGCTGGCCAGGAAGGAGGGGTCGGGGGCATGATCTGTGGGGAGTACTCTCCAGTACCCACTTTATGGGGCAGACCTGAAGCCACCTTGGCTGTGGGGCTAGGAGTTGACAGGATCATGGGCGGAAAGACCCTCTGTGTCTAGCTATGGGAGGGTGGGCCCCTGGCCTGGGTGGACAGGGCAGGGGTTAGGACACCTCGAGCAAGACTCTGGTCTGGAGATAGATTTCTCCTGGACCAACCAAGCAGAGGGGGAGGTGCTGGCCCCTCCACCCCAGGAGGCCCGGAGGGGCTGCTTGGCCTGCCTGGCCGGCCCTCAGAGCTGGGGGCCTCCCAGCCTCTCCTCCCACGGATTTGATGGTTACTGATTCTGCCTTAATGTCTGAAGGGGATAATACTTGGGAGCTTAAAATTACAATTGCTTCTACTTAAATTTATTTGATGGCCGAAGCGTTTCCGTTATACATCCGTATATGGGTTTTCAATATCTTAAATGTTTAAAAAGGTTTTATTCTGTACTTACACTGAGTGAAATTAAAAAGAAACAGTAAAATGTTTGAAAATGAAGTGCATTATGTTTAATAAATTTAAAATGAACAAAGACTGCTATATTGCCAGCAATATCATTCCCTGCCCAGGGGCATTAATAAAGACTGGAGGTTTGGAAAAACAATATTTTCTATTAAAATTCTTCGCTGTGTTTCAATATTAAAAGGATATGTGATGAATTTCCAGTGCTACCCGGACGGGGTCAGAGATTAATTTCATTTCTTTCTGGTCAGCATTCTGTCGATAATTAATCAAAAGCAGAGTTTCTTAATGAAACACTTTTCATAAGGTGATAATTAGCAGGAAAGAGGCGGCCCGCAGACAGTCCCCGCGAGCTGTCTAATAACCAGCGAGGCGCGGGGCTGGGGCCCGGGGCCCGGGGGCGGGGGCCGCGGGGACATCAGCTCCCCGGGGAAGGGGCCGAGCCGAGTGGCGGAGAACCGGGCCGAGCCCGGCGCTCCGTCCCGCCGCTCTGTGCATTGGCTCCGGGACAGTTTTATCAGGCTGGCTGGCTGCAGAAGGAACCGCAACCAAGGAGGACAGGCGAGGGCCGGTCCGCCCTCCACTGCCCAGCGCTGCGCTGGGACGCTGTGTGATCTTAGGCAAGTCCCTTTCCCTCTCTGGGCCTCCGCCCACCCTCCTACCAGAGACGCAGCTCAAAGGGGAGACTCTGGCCTTGGGCGCGCAGGTTCTGCCCTTTGTGGTCATCGGCCACCCTTCCCACAGAACACCGGGGACCGAGGGACCGACGGGCACCCGTGACCCCGGCCCGAGCCCCCACTCACCCCCGTGTTCCTCCGCGCGGGGGCGGCAGCGCCTTCCCAAGCCAGCGGCCCCGCGGCGCCAAAGCCGGGAAGGCCGGGGGAGGGCGGCGGAGCACCGAGGAAA